TGAAAATTGATGAAAAAATAAATATTTATTCGAATGAATTTCGATTCTGTTTTAATTTATGAATTACTAAAAATTTCTATTTAGTGATTTCAAACGATGAAATAAAACTATGATATTGTTTAAAGAATAAAACTTTGTTTATTTCAGTTCGCCACTGTCTGAGATCTATTGTTCAATCTAAAACAGAATGCTAATTAGAGATTTGCAACGTAATAGTGAGAACAGTTTTTTCAGTAGAGAAGTCCAAAATGAGTTCTGAATATTCTGAAAAGACTTTAGACTCTTAGATTATTGCTGCTTGGGTACTGCATTTTTATGGCGATTTTATACAAAAATTGGGCTTGACGAGGATAGTCTATTATGCAAGTTTCAGGACTTTTATCCTAAAACAAGAGATGAAACGTTCATAAGATATTATTCTCAATACGAAATATCTCTACCAGGCACGTACTGAAGCCCCCTCTCCCTCAGGACTGAAAACGCCTATAGGAGGGTGCAGGTAGACGTTTTTTAATTTTCCGATGATACCTCCCCCCCCCTCAGAAAATTTCTGGGTATGTGCGTGATCTCTGCAGTATGCTAATAGCTTCTTTCAGTAAGACAATTTGACTTTTTTCTTTGTGTAAATAGTTGAACTTATTGGATGATGGTACATCTATTGACGATTTATCTCATATTGGTCGATTTTTTGGTGAAGCAACAAGACATTGGTCTGAACGAGAAATTGCTTGGGCATTTTCTCAATTAGATTCACATATACAATTAAAGAAAAAAATTGATCGTTTTTATTCATGTGAACATGGTATATTTATTTATTTTTATTTATTATTTTAATATAGTTCTATTATTTATTAGTCGGTATTGAAATTCAACTTGAACATTCCATACGTTTTTGTTTTCGTTTGGTTTATTTTGATTCAATTCGATTACATGCACATCGTGGTTGTTTATTAAATGTTATTCTTTATAAACAACCAATTTGGTTTCAAGCTCGTCTTATTTATTTATTATTTGGACCTATGTCATTAAGTAAAATATTCAATTTATTTATTTGATTTGATTTGATTTGTTCTTTTTTGAAGATAAAATTGATTGGGAAAAATTTTCACATGATCGATTAAATTCTTTTATCTATCCAAATGTTGATGAAGAACAAGCTTATTTTGATTTAAGTCGTGCTTTTAATGTACTTAATCGATCAGTACATGCTCAAAAAGCCTGGAATAGTAATAGTAAACTTGCTTTATTAAATGAACTTATTGGTAAAAAAGAAAAATTTTGATAGATTAAAGAAATAATAGTTTTTTTTGCTTACTTTTTTTAGCACAACCACTTCCATGGAAATCTGAATATGTTGCTGAATTATTATTCTATTGTGGTAGAGAATTATTAACAAATGTATTAATCGCTTTTGCTGTAAGTTAAAGAAGAAAAAAAAGAACCTGTACGTTATGGTTTTATTTAGATGAAAAATTATCATAAAGAATATGCTCAATTAATTCATTCATTATGTATAGTAAGTTATAAAAGAAAAAACGTAAAACTTGAATAAAAATTGTTAATAAATTTAGGTTGCTCGTCAACGTAAAATGTATTATGAAATAATTCAAACAGCTATTGAAGATTCATTTGAACGTTGTACACTTGTTGCTCAACGAAATTCAATTATTATACATTTACAAAATGCATTTCGTTGTATGACAAGAAATGTAATTGCTGTTCTTGGTAATAGAAGATTTTTTTTTTAATATTATTTAAAATTTCATTTTGACTGTTTGTTTAGCTTCATCAACAATAACACAAACAGATCAATTACATTATTTACAACAACTTGAAGCATTAGATGCACAAAAAGCGTCACTAATTTCATTTCTTTTAACAAATCAATTTGATCAAAATAATTAACAATTATGTCTTTGTCTTGTTTTTTTTTAAATTTTTTGTACACATTTAGATGTATTTATTTAAAATTGTTTTTTTTATTGTATATATAAAAGATTTATTTTCGCTCTGTTATTGTTTGTATATTATTGAAAGTTTTTTTATTTTTTTTGGTGAAAAAAAAAGACATGTTATTTTATCTTAAAATAAGTGCTTTTGTTTTATGTTGTACTTTTTTTTAAAGCGTTATGAACAGAATAACTAAAATCAATAAAAAAAAAACAATCATATGATTGAAATCTCAATAAAGATATATTATTAAATGATAATTATTAGTGTAAATGATTATGATAAAATTCGAAATGTTAATAAGTATTTTTGATAGTTGATTTATTCATCAACATGAAATTGTATTTTATTGGATAATGAAACTGACAAGCAATTTTTCGATAATAATATACATATTTTATGGTTAACAAAGAATTGAGAATACGAGATATTGAAATTTATCAGTAAAATGGGCTTCTGCTTTAGATCTTCTAGAAAATACTGAGCGATGATATTCCTAATTACATTACCAACATTTATTTATTCTTCACTGAATATAATTATTGTTGAAAAATGAAGAGAAAGAAAAGATGGTTTTTTATCTTTTAACCACCTCTTGTTAATTACATAGAATCATGAGGTTGAGATATATGTTTGCTGTACTGTCCTGCACCGGGTCGGTTACCCGAACAACTCAAATTCCTCAATTTTTAGATACAGTTGAATCTAGTGGCACGGTAATCATTGCTGGATGTAACATCATACTTCTGTGAAGAGTATGGTTGACTCTGGAATAGTCGTTTAGATTGAACGAAGACAAAGGCGTTAACGGATGTAATGGGATTATGATGTTATTTGTAAAACTAGAAGTTTTAGAAGCACGACGACAACAACTGAACCCTGAATCTCTTGATTCACTAGCTTTTTTACAAAGCTTTAGATGACTTTTTTTGTCCTTGTTAATTGATGAAATTGAAACAATAGTATGTTTTTTCATACTATATAAAAATTTGCAATTTATGTAACTTTGATAACACGCGTCAAAGGTCTACTATTTTATGGTCGGGCCGGGTCCGGTTGGATGCCGGGTGCAAAAAGTCGCACCCGTACAGGACACTAGTTTGCTGTTTGAGAAGTTTTCTTGACAAAGCTCAAACCTTACTTGAGCACTTTTCAGGATCATATTTAATCTATGGATTTCATCAATGTCCTTTATTTTGGGTGTGGAATGGGTATCGCTTTAGCTTGTGATCTGAGTAGAGTACTATACCTACATCCTTTTGATCGTTATCACTGGTATACATTGCAGAATGTGAGCTCGATAGAAGAGATACTGTCTGTATTGCGTTTAAAAACTTGTCTTATCTTATTTTTAAATTGTAGATGAGGGTATTATAAAAAGTGTAGAACGCATCCTAGAATAAAATTTCAATTATAATAACCAATAAGAAAGTGAAACTCTGATTGTATGAAGGGTAAGAATGGAAAAAAAAGAGAAAAATGACGATATAGGGAGTGAGCCAGGGCTCCTATTTGCGCACTGCCCTGTGTCAATAGAAATCGATCAAATAATTGCAGATAGTTTATAATGCTTATTATGCGCATATACTATATATTTTTTTCTTCCACGTCTTGTTAATCGGCTCTCTTCGTCCTTTGAAACATTAGCAGATGTGAGCGTAAGCCATATTTTTTTTCATTAGAAAAGAACCAATAACAGTAAAACCTTTTTTATTGCTTTTCTTTCTGCATAATAGCACGTGCGTTGACATTTAAGATAAAAAACATGTCGTGGTATGCTCTCGTCGTTATCTTACTATTAGTGGTGAGAAATGGACAACCAGCAAAAACAAAATTCATACATAAAAATGATGATATTCGTTCAATTTCGAGCGGAACATCGTTTGGAGAATGTCTTGGCTATTGTCGTCGATCTATTAATATGACAAATGTTCCGCCTCAATTAATTGCATTGAAAGAATCTAATGGAGATCAAATAAAATATCCAACTATTCAACGGCAATACCCTTTCGATTTGATTCAATGGCAAAAACTTATTGCTGTTTTCGATACAGACATATTTCTAAAGTTAGATGATCGTATAGGGTGTCCTGACTGTGCAGATGGTGGTGCAGAATGGATTCAAGTTAACTGGTCAAATAAAAGCAAACGTGTAACATTTGAATATGGAAAATCAGTTAATGTTATTGAAGAGCTTATTAAATATTCGCGCGTACTCAGAGAGCAATATTTGAAAAATTTGTGAAATAAAAAAAAAAAGATGATCATGAAACTGATACGATATTTCCTGCAAAGCTTGATGAATACAATGATGATTGTCACTACTAATACTGCCGTAAATAAAAAGTCATAGTCTGCAATCACTAAAAAGACGAGAAGTTCTCATCGGACTTTGGTATTTACCTTGCTTGTATTTACCACCAAATGTAAGTAACAGGTGAGCACTCTAGGAAATCGAGTTCACAGCGTACTAACTAAACGATGCCTGTCTTTCTTTGATGTTGAGCTGTTCTGTTCAAAATTTTCAAAGCAATATATACCATTCAGCTCTTGGAGAACATTTCACTAAAAATTAACTGTGGTATTCTAAATAAGTTGCAGACTGTCGTGACTTTCTCAAGTTGCGATATGTGTTTATCGAAAACGAAAAGGTTTTCACTGAAGGTTAACGCTCTGAGCATAGTGAAACTCAAAAGTTGGAAGATATTATTAAATATATATCAATATGTAGTGTCAATGAATATTCAGTACCATGGTGAAAGTAAGTAGTGATTCGTTTTGAAGACGTTTTTCTTAAAATATTCTACAATGTGGGTGTACATGTACTTGTTGGTGTTGTTTTTATTCACACCATAAATCTACACCTTTTTATTCATGTGAAGTCGATGGAAACATATACAGTTTATATTTTCGTTTCACATGACATCATGAAGTGATCGCAACACAATAAATAAATATTGAAAAGATGTCAAAATCTGTTGATGACCATATTTGATGATATATCCATCGATATCACCTTTTTTGTTTTGCAATACGCTCATAAAATCTATTGTTTGCTGCCGAAAAAGGTCGGAATTAAAGAACCAACATATTTATACGTGTGGTTTTAGAAGGATGACAGTTATAAGCAAATATGAATCAGTCAGATATTGATTTTCTTGATCTGCCCAATATAGAATTGATTATTGTTTTGAAAAAGCTCAACAATAATGATGTTCTCTATTCATTGTTAGGACTTTATAATGAACGATTTGATATTTTTGTACATTATGATACAATTACTAATATTCGCAATTTCGTAAGAACATCATCGACTGTTGATAATACACTTGATTGATTTTCTATTTTTATATTACCTTGAATTCATCATTGCATAAAAATACTTATTCCCGAAAAAATACCCATGGAATGTGTTCTTCTAGCTGATAACTATCCATTATTTTACAGGTAAGTATTTAATATGTTCTTAGTTATCAACAAATCAAAATGAAACGAAGAAATTCCAGTGCATTGATTCGTTTTTGTATTAATGTATTTGTTTTTGATGATTTCATCTGTTTACTTGACAGTCGACTCAACTAATTAATCACGTTTATCCTTCAAATTCATTATATTACATCTCCATGATAAATGTCTTGCAATATAGTAAGTTGACTTTGTTTTATTGATGTTTGTAATTAAGATGGAAAATATTGACGATGAAATCATGCTAATGTAGCGGATTATCACTAGAGTAGTGTTGAGGACATCATACTTTTAACCATTATAAAACTACTTAGGGCAATCGAAAAGTAGTGACGGAGATACTTTATTTCTGTAAATAAACCTTGAAGAACTTTTTTTTTGTGTATTCATAGAAACAACAATGCTCTATTTTTGTATACTATTCGATCACGCTTCAACTAGTATCATAATAATAAAACTTCCATAAGAACTGCTTTTCTGTAAAATTTGACCATAACTTTAGATCATGTTATCATTCATATGCATTGTCTTTTTGTTTTTTTTTCTTGCGTCTTCTAATACCAAGTTGTCCATACATACATAAATATTAAGATACCTGTCTTGTTTGGTTTGTGCGTATGTGTAGTTTATTCATGTATTTTCAAAATAGTCAACAAAATAAAGTTAGATTAAATTTTAACACGGTTCATAGAAAAAATCTTCGATAAATGGATTTAACGAAAATGCAGTAGTGTTTGAATAATCAAGACGATTGCTTTGAACGTTTGATGAAAGAAAAAGTTCTTGAACTTATTTCTGTATTTTGTTTCCTGTTCTACTACCATTACTTTTTGTACATTCTATATGTGTGGACGACTAGGTATTAGAAGAGACACGAAAAAAAGAGAATATATACAGATGATAATATGATCTAATGTCATAGTTAAGTTTTACACAAAAACCGTTCTAATTGAAGTTTTATTATTATGATATTAGTTGAAGAATGATTAAATAGTTCAGAAATCTTGAGTATTGATTTTTATATCACTTCATAAAGAAGATACAAAAAAGCTTGAGATGGAACTGAATCAACATATAGGTTTTATTAGTTCGTAGGTTTTATTTAGAGATTCTTCTTCATATCGATTAGGTATCAATGAATCATTATAGTCATAATAGTATTAAATTCTTATTTGAATCCATTTAAAAAGATCAGTATCACTAGTAATATTTCCTGAAGGAATACGAGGCAGAAACAAAGATATGGATTAAGATTAAATTAAAGGCAGATGATGATTATTCAAAGACAAATCTATAAAAAGGGACTTTTTTCTGTATGAGTCATTAGTTATTCAAGTACAAATGAAGAGTATATAGAGATCAACACGTTTTACTTTTCTTTACATCTTATTATATGTATAGAAAAAAAAAATCAATAAATGATTACTATTACTATAAAATGCGTGTTATATAGAAATGAAATTCGGTTATCGACAATGCATTTTTCGTTCAGGCTATATAGTATAAAAGTTAGCTGGTCCCAAATGTAACGGTCGAAACTGACAAATGTGAATCATAGATAATTAAATCTTATCTTATTTATGGAATAGTAACAAATTAAAAGGGAATCCCAAGGTTAACCGATTGGACGACTTTTGTTCAGAAACAACTTTATAGTTTGTAAACACAAATAATCATAGAAAATGGGAGGTTGTGCGATCAAATATCGAGAAAACCACTTATCTTCGATATGTATGATTAAAATTGACGAAGAGATAAAGTGCATCAAGTTAAAACAGTCTAGACAGAACTTTGTATGTAGAAAAGGTCAGAAAAAATCTGATTCTAAATGTTTTTTTTGTTATTAAAAATCTATAATAATGATACTATTTTAATCAACATTTATTCCGTTTTAAAACAACAAAAATTTGATTATGATCATTTATTTACCAGATTCAATTATAATGATAAATCTGATTAAATTTAGAGTATAATAGCACCATTATCATCGATTTTTAATCACAAAGAAATCGATTATAATCAGATTTTTTCTAATTTTTTTTACATCAGTAGGTCGAGATCGAAACCATGGTACGGACTGATCTCGCATCGTTATGTAAAAAAATGACTGTTCCATCCGTATGCTAGATGGAACGTTTGAAGTTTGGTTCAATAAGTATCATTGCATTGAGTGAGAAGCTATTGTTAGTGAAATCTTGGTTTTTTGTCAATCCTATGCGATAGGTGAGAAAAAAAAAAGACGAACAAACGATATTTCACATATTCTACCAACCACTCTTCTTACTATTCATCGCCAATGACTCACCTAATCGAACGATAGAGAAAAGAATAAACAAAAGGACAGAAATATCTCTACAATACAAAGGCACTATATCATGACTATGTTATGCTCTATTGATTCACGCATCAGCTCGTATACGCAAAAGCAAAAGTTATTTCACGACGTATATATATGTAATATAGTTGTTTAACCCTCACTCATAGAAAACCTTCGATAAAATATACTTTTATTTTAATCGTGGACATACAAGACTTTGCAAGAATACAATCAGCAAAAGTAGGTCCCAAAACAAACAGTAAAGTTAAGTTGCTGTAAATCCACTTTCTTCACAAACCATCTGTAATGTGGATTGTCAATATTTTTTGTGAGTACTAACGTAGAAATGCAACCAATCGGGGTTGTGTTCTTTTATCATTCGAAAAGCTTCCTATCGCTGAGAAAGAAACACGATATTGTATAGAAAGCAACTGCTCTATAAAATTTCGTGAAAGGTTCTCTTTCTGAGTGGATATGACATAATCAGAATCATCATATAAGACTATGCTGTTGTGTCGAATAAGATTGGACCAAAGTTCCTTTTCATGTAGCTTTGACTGCAAAGATTTTTTTTTCATTTATTAAATGTGATTTTTTGAGTATTGTGCAATTACTTATGGGAACCTCCGCTATTCCGTGTAGAATGGGGTCATTTTTTTTCATTAGAAAAGAACCGATAACAGTAAAACCTTTTTTTATTGTGTTTCTTTCTGCATAATAGCACGTGCGTTGGTATTTAAAGTGAAAAACATGTTGTGGCATGCTCTCATCGTTGTCTTTCTATTAGTGGTGTTAGGTGGACACCCAGCAAAAACAAAATTGATACATAAAAATGATGATATTCGTTCAATTTCAAGTGGAACATCATTTGGAGAATGTCTTGGTTATTGTCGCCGATCAATTTATATAACAAATATTCCACCTCAATTAATTGCATTGAAAGAACCTAATGGAAAGCAAATAAAATATCCAACTATTCGACGACGATTTCGTTTTAACTCGATTCAATGGCGAAAAATTATTGCTCTTGTGGATGTACGCAAATTTCGAAGGCTAAACGATCGTATAGGATGTCCTGATTGTGCAGATGGCGGTGCAGAATGGATTCAAATTAATTGGTCAAATAAAAGCAAACGTGTAACATTTGAATATGGAAAATTAGTCAATGGTATCGAAAAGCTTATTAACTATTTGCGTGTATTAAGAAATCAATATTTGAAAAATTTGTGAAATAAAAATAAACAAATGATCATGAAATTCATGAAAAAGAACAAAAATTCGCATCAATATGTTTGATATTTTAATTCACAAGCATTGATGGATATAGAGACAGTGTAGGCATGTGTGAGAAAGTTTCATAATCGAAAGTTATTTGTTTTGCTCGTTTCTAGTGAAAGTGATCATCGCATAGGGGTGGTGAGAGTGCATGCCTTTTCTTACACTACATCCACATTCACATCCTGTCTTCCTTCTGATTGAATAATGACTTATGTAATCTGTCCTAGCAAAATGATGTTTCTTTCAATTCTGTGGACCACTTATTGATCCTTTCCTCAACAGCTATAAAAAAACAAGATGAATATAAATCATCTTCAAATTCATATAAAGATTTAAATAGTCTTCATTGTTTGTCAAACTAATATAGCAATACAAACACAAGTTTGTTTTTGAGTTGTTATTTCCATTTGATAATAACTATACATCATTTTTAAAATGTTTTGCATAAGTGTTTTATAAGTAATCTAAATGAATACTAATATTTGCAATTGTCATTCACTTTCTTAAAATATTCAATAGTGAATACTTTAAATGATATACTTGTTTTATCAATAGCATCTGTATGGCTTATGTGATAAATAAATGCAAATTTTAAATTTAGAATTAATCTATCCATGAAAAAGGTAGTTCAATAAATAGCAACATGCTTTTCTATTTAATATACTATGGGTTATGATCATCGTTTATTAGATTTACTAATAAAATTGTTCCAAGACTTGCATTATTGACAAGCATTTATCGAATAGCAAAATTAACCGAAAATATTTAAAAATTTTGTACGTACTGAAATATAATCCATGTAACAAGCAAATAATCAATAATATCAGATAAAAGAACCTTGGATAATAATGTCATCCGATGTGAACTTTTAATAAAGAAACCATAAACCAGATTCAATGCATGCTTATGTTCATGCGATCAAAACTCTCATTGTTAAGTAGAAGTTAACTCTAATTTAATGTAAAATAGAAAAGAATCTAGTTAATTGTGTACATCTCGATGAAATGAACATTTTTTGATCGAATAAGAAATTCTAAATATTCAAAATTGCTCATACATATAAACTACATGGCAATCATTTGAATTAAACTGACTTCCAGTCATTATCAATTTCGTTGCATCAAATGCAGTTTGCACTTTTTTTTGTGTGAACCTAGATAAAAAAAACAGATTTGTTCATTCGTTTTATTTCGATAAAATATCAATTAAAAGAACTCAAAGTTCATATTCGTAGAGGAGAAAACAAGCGTAAAGCCTGTCTTTTCATCATAATTCAACAAATGTAAAATATCCTGAAAGCTTGCCAGAAAAACAACAGCGACATCCTTCCGAAGGAAATTTTTTCATACATAAAATCGTGACATTATAGAGATATGTTTACTAAGCTCGTTTAGAGGAAGAATCATTCGCCTTTCTTTATATTTTGAAAGAATTATGCTTGCATCGCACTCAATTCAGCTCTATAGATTCTTCATATTAATGGACGTGTATATTGTCTGCGATTGACTGTGCTCATACTTTGATCACAGATTAATGCCTATTACGGACTACAGAAATCTGAAAGGAATGTGACCAGGTTTCTGTTTCTTACTTTCTTGTGTGAATGTTCTCTTCACCCATCCACATCCTAAAATATCAAATCAATTTTGCTTTATCAATAGTGTGGAAGAAATACGACTGTCTGCTAAGAATTCTTTTAACACATTCTATCAATATTAAATCTTAAAAGAATGAAGATTTTTTGAACAATAGTAGAAGAAGAGCTCCTACAATAGTGAATATGATTCAATTAAATATATTTGATCACATTCATTTTATTCTAGAGAAGATAAACTTTTGATTAGTTTTTAGTATGAATGTAGATGTAGATATCAATGAAACTATTACGTAAATAGATAATGTAGACTAAAAAAAAATGAAATAAAGAAAGACATAACTATTAAAAAACTCTTTAAAAAAAAACTAACTATGGCAGTAACTAGAGAGTTGTATGAGTTTCTTTAAAATGGACTGATATATATAAATGGGCCCAAAATAGCTGCAATTTCAATTTTATTCAATGTCATTGTGAGCTTTCAGAGAGAGGTCACAATGTTCAACTGAAGAATTTTTATATAAATTTATTACATGAGTCATCTTTCTCTTAATTTCAATTTTATACAAGAGTTTGTTTTTTCTTCAAACAAGTCCTTTCAACATCAACATATTTAAAAATGTCTGCTCTTTCAGCTGACTATTAACTAAAATTGATTAATTAAGTAACTAAGAAGCAATTAGTAAATATTGCTCTAATCATATGAGAAACGGATAAGAAAGTTTTGAAATACATTCCTATTGCAGATACCTCAAATGGTAAGACACTCATACACTTTTATCCCAACACAATGAGAAAACTATGACTAAATGATCCATATTATAAGCAAATTATATGAAGAATCGAAAAGACTTAGTTTTATTTGCGAAAACTAAATGAAGAAAACGGTCAGTATACTCTTCAATATGTCGTTCTTGCCATTTACCACACCATCTCTATTAGCTATATTCATGGTGTGCCTTGTAGTTTATTCTGTACAATCTTTTCTACAATAGTATGAAAAAGTTCGGTCCCGATAAAACTACTACTAAGATCATATGACCTGTATGTCTGTGTAGAAAAGTGTACATGAGAATATCATAAGTGATATAAAGAGAGAGTGATGATCACTTTATTATTTCGTAAATCATCTGCCAGATTTGGTAGTCGACGTATCCCAGGTCTCTGACCCAACACAAAGAGTGTCTGTCTTTATATCAAGCACAAAAATTGTAGTGATCAACTTTTACCTGTTATTCTGTTTCAGATTTAAAGAACGATATAGTCTGTGTAGATAACTTGAACAACTATTCAGAACCTGTATGATAAAGCAGCCCAATGAAATGGGATAAATACGAAATCGGTTATAATTTTAAACCATTAATTTGTATCCTTATAAAAACAAATGATTCTGATCGATTGTTTCTAAAACCACCCAAAATCAATTATGATCAAATGTTCCATCGAATTTAATCAACATTTGATACTTTTAATCGATTTTTTATTGATTATTCTTGAAAAAAATTGAGTTTAATCAGATTTTTAGTCTTTTTTCTTAACATGGGTATGTATTTGCAATTACCGACATTGCTGTAATTACATTTTTTTTTGAATCTGAGCAGTGTTGTTCTATTCGAAGCTTTTCATCCCATTTAATGCAACATTTTCTTTCTTGGACGTCTATACTTACCTCTATCATGAATCATATGAATCACATGAGTCATAAAATAATAAGGACAAATCTACATTAACGTGTGCAATGTCTGTGAAAAGCAGAATGACGATGACGCCCACACATCTTTCGCAATACATAAAATTTCGTCAGTGAGCATGATTCACAAGAGAAGGAAAAAAGGAATAGAAACCCAAAACACATCTTTCACACAACATACAATCATTCTGCAACAACCTCAGTAAAAATGTCGCTGTCAAAACTGGAATCGTTACCCAATGAAATTTTGCTTGATATTTTCGAAAAACATGTCAATGGAGTCGATATATTGATGGCATTTGCCGAACAACTCAATAGTCGCATCGATGGTGTGATTGCTCGATGTCAACAATTTCGATTTGATTTTATGCGTTGTCGAAAGGATGATTTTGGTCTATGTATGAGTCTATTTCCATCGTTGATCGATAGAATTAGAGAACTAGCTTTATCAGAATGGGATACACCAGGTCAAATACATTCTTTTCTATCTTTATTTCCATCGTTCAAGCCATTTATTAATCTTCAGACATTACATTTTCATTTCGATACTGCAACAGCTAATTGGACAACAGTAGAAAGGGCTCTCTATTCATTGAGTAATCTGAAGAGTCTGAATACTTTGTCAATTGAAATAGCGCACTCATCACTAGTATACGATTTTAGAAATATTGTTGAAAGATTATTTTGTTTACCAACGTTAAAACGATTCTCTATGGCTATCGAGACGGATGTCTTGTTTTGGCCATTTTTAAAGCCAGCTTCATCCAATATTGAACATTTGAATATAAAAGGTGTGAATTGCACATGGAGTACTCTACAGTCGATAGTTCGATGTACTATTAACCTTCGATACCTTAATGCTCGATTGATCGAGAACTTGTCATATATTTTTCAGGTAGAAGTACGAACCAAGTTGGACTATGCACCCATGGATTATCTTCAAACATTGATTTTACATTTCGACAAAAACGCTTCCCAGACATTTGAAATGGTCACACAATTTCTACGAACTGCACCTAATCTTTATCGATTAGAAATAACTGCTCATGATGCTCTGATCAATGCCAGTGCTTGGGAACATCTCATTAAAAACGCATTACCACGTTTGACACATTTTTGTTTGAAAATGAGTCTATCTCGTCTAGAAAAGCGTAATCTTGAAGAAGTAGTCGTCTCATTTCAAACATTATTCTGGATTGAAAAGATCAACTTTCATATATTGATCTTGGATGATGAACAACTGCCGGATGACCTAGATACGAATTATCATGTTTTTGATCGGCAAAGACGGACTTTGAACATGCAACAGAGCCGAAAATCGAATGGGCGAAATACAGAATTTCAAATGGCATTAGTACGGCCAACAAACAGTAGTATCTCTCCAATAAATACTATCACAAGTTTACATTTCTATGGGAACTCCTCTCTTCTATCATCTCAATATTTCTTTAACAATGTTCGAAGTCTTGTCATTGGTTATCTAGAGAAAGATCTTGTTAAGTGGATAAGTAAATACGTGAATTGTCTGAGAATTGAAGAACTCGATATTTCACTATGTGGATATGATTCAATTACAACTGTTTCATTGTTGACTCTGACCAAACATGTTAAATCACTCAAGTTGAATACTACTCAATTGATTCTGTATCATGAATCGCAAATAGGAAT